AAATATATATATAAAATCTCAGATGGATATGGTGGGGCCCACTTATAAATCCAGCACTCTGGGAGACTGAGGTAGGAGGATCAAAAATTCAAGCCCAGCCTGGGCAATTTAGTGTCATAATGAGACCCTGTCTTAAAAAGTAGGAAGGGCTGTGGATGTAGCTCAGTGTGCGGGTCCTGGGTTGGATCTCTAGCCTTGCCAAAAACTCTTTTCATTGTGATTTATCTCTTCCTTTCTATGGTTTTTTTCATGGTGATGTATCACTCACAAATGCCACCACAGTTTAGGCAGTACATCTGAGTTAGTTTTTCAAAAGAGAATTTTTATAAATCAAATCTTACTTAACAGAAGCCTATGGTGTCATCTTTTGTTTCTATCCCCCCATTTACTCCTTGAATTACAAATTCCTCCTTTGGTTACATGTAGATTAATAGCTACAGTAAAACTCAGTTGAATCTGTCAGATTATGGGTGGTTTTGATTGCTTTTCTAATTGAGCAGAAATGCTTCTGCTTAAGTAGAACCTGATGACCACTTGCATAGAAGTTTGTGGGGCCTTGCACAGACCTTTGTGCTATCAAAGTTGGAGAGGATGGAAAAGAGATTAGAAGGCTGAAAAGCATAAGTACAGCGAGCCTAATGTTACTAGAAATGTGATACAAACTTGTCTTCATGTGACTTAGTTCTTTTTCCTAGGAGCTAACCACACTAAATGTAGTTATACTTATCAAGGATTTATTGGGTCACTTACCCTCATCACTGGCCTCCACAACATCCACGTTGTTAGAAACCTCACTTAGTGATTCAGCCATGATAGGATCACTAAAATAAAGTACAAAGAGAAAAAGTGAATATCCAGAACACGACACAATCACTTTATCCTACCCTTTTTTAAGCTAGATTCTTAAACTACTCAAGAAAAAAGGTACAGATGGAATTGCCATTAAGAACAATTATTATTCTTCCTTTTCAAAAGACAAGGATTTCATGAACATGAAATGTCCAGAAGAGGCAAATGTTTAGACAGGGAGACTTTCTTACTTAGAGATAGAAGGATGGGGTTCCCTGGGGTAACTGAGCTATGCTTGGCCAGCTTAAGAAACATGGCAGCACCCCTAGGATATACCACTAAGGAAGCCTTTGTAGACATTGGTGAAATAAATTACCTCTGAACTTTAGAGAAGCCCATGGAAAAGGAGCTTGTTACCCAACACACCAGGCCACACAGGCTATCATTGCCCTTGACCCACCACTGGCACGGGTAGAAGAAGAAACAACCACCAAAGAGAAAAATATTACATCAAAAGGGAGAGCAAGGAAAGAGAGCATCTTGACAGCATTTAAACACCTGCAGCATTCGTACAGCAATTCAGTGCAACCCTTGCATTCAGACGATCTGGCAAAATCACACATACCATACGTGTTATACTTCCAGATAGGCTTGCCTTGACTCCCCAACCAAATCCTAAAGGCTTTGAGAATCCCACTACCAACACCCACATGTCTGCCCTCCCAAACAAACCAGCAAGGACAACAAAACACACAAACTTCTGAACGCTCTTCCTGTTACCACCCCATCTCTCTGCGTCTCTTCAAAGCAAAACTCAAGAGCTTGCTATACTCACTACGTTTGTGTTCTCAATTCTTATTCCTGTGAGCCATGTCCAACCACGCTTCCAAATTCAGCTTCTTTTAACTGTTCCACTAAGACTACTCTTCTTAAATCCAACAGGGATCTTCTGACCACATCTGACTCCCTTTTTGACCACTCCCTCTTTTTGGATAATTTTATCACTTGCCTTTCAGAACACCACATTCCTCTAATTTTCGTCCTACTTCACTAGCTGTTCCTTCTCAGTGTTCTTTGCTGGATCTTCCTCCTCTTCCGGATATGAAATGTTGTAGCACCCAGGCCTCTGTCCTTGGCCCTCTCTTTATCTACAGTTATGTCCTAGACCAGCAACAGTAAATAACATTGTTAACATGAGCAAAATTATAAGCTGCATATGTGAGCTTAAGTTTTCTAATAGCCATATTTTTGAAATGATGATGAAAAAATAACCATCCAAAACAGATGAAACTACTTTAATGATGCATTTAGTTAACCCAATATACCAGACACTCTCCTACTTTGTTTTGAAATCTTGTATTCGGGCCGGGGAGATGGTTCAGTAGGATAAGCGCTTGACTGGCAAACACAAGAATCTGAGTTCAATCCCCAGTTCCGCCAAAAAAAAAAGAAGATGAAATCTTGTATTATTGTTTTTATCATTTATTCTGTTTACAATTTTAAAATGTGGTATTTGTGCACAAAGGGGTACTGCTCTGTCATAAAGAAGAATAAACTAGAGTCATTGGTAGGAAAATGGATGCACCTTGAAAGAAATTAGATGCACAAGAGTCAATGTCACATGGTTTCCCTTATGTGAGAAATTTTAAACATAAGTGAAATGAAGAGCAAAGGAAGAAAAAGAAATGGAGATACAGATCTTTTGCAAAAAGGAAAGGGAGAAAGAGTTGGAGGTAGGAGGAGAAAGCGGAGGGGAAGGGGATGAAAAAGAATCAAAACCTATTATGTACATGCACCAATTCCCCATGATGAATATAGTCAGTATGCACTGCAAGCAAGTACAATAAGAATATTTTTTAAGAAGTAGTGGCTGGACCCTCTTGGAGGTGCACAAGGTTCCTCTTCCTACTAAGTAACCACTGCCACCGACTGAAATTCCTTCCTTTCACCCTCAAGCTGACTTATTAGACAGCACTTTGTGTCCTGCTGCAGTTTGGCTCTTATTGCCCCCGAAGGCTCATCTGTTCAGGGCTTGATCCCCTGCGCAGCTGTATTCAGAGGCAGGGCCTTTGAGAGGTGATTGGATAATGAGGGTTCTGACCTCATCAGTGGGTTGCTCACAGATTCATGGCTTAGTAGGTATGAGGGAAGGGGCTTGCTATGAAAGCAAGCCTTGGGGGGGGTTGGTACTGGGACTCCAACTCAGGGCATCACACTTGCCAGGCAGGCACTGCATGTGCTGAGCCACCCACCCCGCTCTGTCAGAGCAGCTTCTTCCCACTTTCTGGCTTCCGTGAGCGGGGCAGCTTTTCTCCAACCACACCCTTCCACCATGATGTCCTGCCTTAGCACAGTCCTAAAGTAACCAGACCAGGTGACCAGGGATGGAAATATTTTAAGCAGTGAACTCAAATAATTCTTTCTTCCAGTTCATTGATTTCTCTTAGGTATTGACTCATAGGGACACAAAGCTGACTAACATGCTTCCCAGGAGGTGTCCCTTCATACAGGGGTCATTGTGTTTCTCTCACATATCTTATAATCCCTGATAAAAATTTAAAATGAATTTTGTCTTTAATCATACCAGGACAATTAATGAGGATCCAGTCTATACTTTCATTAATTATATTCAGCCAAAACTGCTACCTCACTGGTGTTTCTAAAAAATAACAATGTCGATGAGCCTCCCGCTAAAGCTTATTTACCAACTTCATGCTGCTCCCAGGATAAAAGCCAAGCTCATAACATTCAAGGCCTTCTGAAATCTTGGGCTCCCTGCCCCCCATCACCCAGCAGCCCACTCCCACTCACGCCTCTCACAATCACCATCCTGTAAGCACACTGCATTCTTTTGTTTCCTCTGTTTTGTACAGCCTGCCCTCTTGGCCAGAAACACCTTCCTCCTGATCCCTGTATCCTTGAAATCTGACACATTCTTCAAGACACTACTCAAAGGTAACAGGCTCTGCACCCCCATCCCTGGGGCATTGGCCCTGTGCTCCTACCGTTGCTATACCTGACCATCACTTTAACTACAGGGACATCACCAGCACCTAGCATAACAATACTAAGCACACAGAAGGTGCTTACTATATGTGTTTGTAGAAGGATGAATTCAGGAGAAGGTAGGAAAGGGTATTAGGGTGGCAAATAAGAATCAGTTGGGAAAGTGGTCACCTTGTTGAAACATGGAACAATATGAGACATGCTTTAAAAGTAAAGGACCTGTCTGCATGAAGTGCTATAGAAAAGCTGGTGAGGTGAGTAAAGAAAGAGGGAAGATAAAGTTTTTGTGCAGTGCATGATGTGAGACTTCACAGATGCATTCAAAGAGCCTTAAGTCAGGCAGTAAAGGTCCTCAGGAACTCTGGCCCAGCAGGGATAGAAAGTTGCATTACTATGCTTGTTTACTTCTCTTGTAGGCCCCAGGGCTGCTCTCTCCTTCACTGCCTTCTCAGTTAAGGGCCAAACAAGGGATCTGGGGGGGAAAGAGGAAAAACAAGGAAGGAAGGCCTATCTTCCAAGTTTGCTGAAATTGTTTAACCACACTCTGATTTAGGTTCAAGGATTCAGAAGGTTTTGCTTGGCAACTTTGCTGCTTCCCAGAATGGAGCTAATGGAAAACAGCTGGCCTCCTGGTTTTCTTTAAAAAAGAAAAATCTAATAGGATAAAATGTTTTTCATAGAGTGTGTTATAAATAGAATTCTAAGATGGCCCCCAAGGTTTTCACTCCAGTGTACATAAATGGGAACAGCCCTAATCTAATCAGGTGAGATTTTTAAAGGGTGATCTAGAGGTCAGGCACAGAAATCAGATTTGAAGCTGCAATATATGTTGTTTTGCTGATATTAAAGAATAAATTGACGTGTTGTGGAGAGCCAGTGATCAAGAAACCAAGGGCTTTGCCCTATGGCCTCAAAACACTGAATTCTGCCAACAACCAGTTTGCAAGATGACTTTGAACCTCAGATGAGACCTCGGCCCTGGCTGACACATTGATTACAGTCTGGTTAGACCCTGAGCAGATGATCCACTAAGCCACACCTGAATCCTTATCTCATGGAAGCTGAGTGATAATAAATTTATATTGACTAAGTTCTTTGTCATTTGTTAAACGGCAATAAAAAGAGTCTCACTGGCCCCAGCTCCTATTAAGAAAGAAGCCCAAGGTACAGGATGTTTTGAGCCATGTAAGCTGCAACATAGAACTGTGTGCAGAAGCCCATGAAAGGATTATCTGTATCCCACCACAAACATTTCTTTATGCAGAACTAAGTTGTTACCTTCTCAACTGTAATGTGAACGGCAGACCTTGCCAACATGTTAGAGCATGGAAAACCCCCTCAAAGGTTCAGCTTGTTTGAAATAGCTTCCCCTACTCCCAAGACAGTATCTTCAACCCCTTCTATATATCTGCCAAACAGTGGATAGAAGTCCTACAGTGACTCATTCAGAGGCACGGCATGAGGAGAGAATGGAGGTGATTAGCTCTGTCCTCGAGACTGCTCATCTAGCTCTACAGAAAGGATCCAAGGCCAGGATACTAATTTATTGAGGAACCCAGGGTCCTGCTCATATGCAATTACCGTGAGTGCCATACACTTATTAATTGTAAAATAAGCTAATCTGCAGGGGAGAGGAAGCTATAATCAGTCTTCCTTTCTCCTTTCCTTGCAAGAGGTTGGCAGGCAAGCTAGCCCTTGGAATGCAGCCACTGAACAGTCCCTGATGAGGGCAGCTGCTCCTCAGACTGCACAGTGGGCTCCAGGAGCCTACCAGTAGTCTGTATGATCCTGTTTTGGGCCAGTCATCCCACCATTTGGCAGGGCTCACTTGGTCAGTTAGGGGGTTAATATCAAGTTTCACCTAAGAGGATACAACTGCCTCCACAGAAAAAATGAAGGCTTTTCAAAGTAGTAGGCATATTGACATTTCCCCAGCAGGGACTAAGAGCAGCAGCAGTAGCTCTCAGCAGGCTAAAGGCCAACAAGTTAGCCTTCAAACTTCTGTTTGTTTGTGCTCCTGGGAGCAAATGTGTGTACTCTCATGGGAACCTTGATAGAGGGGATAACCTTCACAACCACTTACTTGGACTCTGAGAGCCCTGGATGGATATCTATTGAAAGCATAAGTGCTACATGGGTTTGGTGGCACCCAAAAAGCTGTCTGTGGCAAATTCTCTTAAGCCAGCCCACAAAATGCTTGTGAGTGTCAATGATAAACATACTGGGAGAGAGGGTTACACTGCATATTCCAAACCCTTACCCATGGGCCTTTGACCACTCAGACCCTGGGGCAGATGTCCATCCATTCTCTAGGAGCCCCCTGCTTTGGACAGATGGATACCAGCTCTAGAGTAATTATCACAGAGGCCTTTCTTACTCTCTAGGAGGCCAAGGAATAGTGGGAAAACTACCCTCTCCTCTTCCCCACCACAAAGAAACCCTTTTCAGGAATGCCTCTGAGCAGTGAGATCATTTTCCAGGGAGCTTGTCCTTGTCCTGGAGACTAGACAGCCTCAAAAAATAGGTTTCCATGGCTAGAAGACTCCTCAGCATTTCTCTGGAGGTAATGTCCAGCCACTGGGCAAATAGAGCAAAAAGAAAAATTCGTTCTGTCAGGAAGGAAACATAACTTTTCCTTAGCCCTCATAAATCTGCAATTGGGACACACTTCTATAACAAAAAATAGATTAACAAGAAAAGAACAAGCAGGGTTTGGGAGACAGCTTAGTGGAATAAGCACCTGCTTGGCAAGCACAAAGTCCTGAGTTTGATCCCTGGTACTGCAAAAAATAAACAAAACAAGCAAACAAACAAAAAAAAGAACAAACAAGTTTATTTTCATGTGCAATTCACACCCTGTGGGAGAAATCACAATGAAAGCTAACTCAAAACAGTGGCTTAGGACTCTGATTTCTACAGTGTTTTCAATAAACAACAAATTTCTAAGTAAGTGGTAAGACAAAGGAAAAAGGCTATTAGTCTCTAAGAGCAGCAACTTGAGGGAAAAAACAAAGGTCAGATAAACTTTAGTTAGTGAAGCTTACTAATATAAGTTACTCTGGTCTCATTTCAATACTGATGAGGATCTAAGGGGATCTTTGGTGATTAACTTTTGTTATCCTGGTGAGGATATGGGGTAGGCAGGTACCTTTTGT